ATTGTCTCAGTGATTGGCTTTCTGTGAAGTGAGCAGCAGGCTCTGGACCAAACCCTCGTGTTTTCATAACACCAGGATGGCCAGTAGCCTCCAGACACTGGAGGTGTCAATGAAGGAATCCTCCATTTAAGGCTTCAAATGACCCTGTCAACAGATTGATTCCTGACTTTGAACTTCCAGAACTGTGTGAGAATAATTTCCGTTTTTGTTTTTGTTATTGTTTTTTTGACAGAGTTTCACTTCATCACCCAGGCTGGAGTGCAGTGGCATGATCTGGGCTCACTGCAGCCTTGGCCTCCTGGGTTCAAGTGATTCTTCTGCCTCAGCCTCCTGAGGAGCTGGGATTACAGCCATGTACCACCACGCCTGGCTAATTTTTTTCTCTTTGAGACGGAGTTTCGCTCTTGTTACCCAGGCTGGAGTGCAATGGCGCTATCTCGGCTCACCGCAACCTCTGCCTCCTGGGTTCAGGCAATTCTCCTGCCTCAGCCTCCCGAGTAGCTGGGATTACAGGCACGCGCCACCATGCCCAGCTAATGTTTTGTATTTTTAGTAGAAACGGGGTTTCACCATGTTGACCAGGATGGTCTTGATCTCTTGACCTCGTGATCCACCCGCCTCAGCCTCCCAAAGTGCTGGGATTACAGGCTTGAGCCACCGCGCCCGGTTCCTAGCTAATTTTTATATTTTTAGTAGAGATGGGGTTTTGCCATGTTGGTCAAGCTGGTCTTGAACTCCTGACCTCAAGTTATCTGCCTGCCTTGGCTTCCCAAAGTGCTGGGATTACAGGCGTGAGCCACCACACCTGGCCAAAGCCACCGCACACAGCCTTTAATTTCAAAATAATTTTACACTTACAGGAAATTGCATTCAGCACAGAGAAGTCCTACGTGCTCTTCACTCAGTTCCCCCCATGGCTACATCTTCCATAGCTATAAGTATAATATCAAGTCATCAAATTTACACTAATGAAATATGTGTATATGGCTCTATGCCATTTTATCACATGTAGATTCATGTACTGACCATTGCAATCAAGATACAAAACTGTTCCATAAATATCTCATTTGGTTTTTATTTATTTTTATTTTTTAATTTTAACTTTTTTTTTTTTTGAGACGGAGTTTCGCTCTTGTTACCCAGGCTGGAGTGCAATGGCGCGATCTCGGCTCATCGCAACCTCCGCCTCCTGGGTTCAGGCAATTCTCCTGCCTCAGCCTCCGGAGTAGCTGGGATTACAGGCACGCGCCACCATGCCTAGCTAATTTTTTGCAACTTTAGTAGAGATGGGGTTTCACCGTGTTGACCAGGATGGTCTCGATCTCTTGACCTCGTGATCCACCCGCCTCGGCCTCCCAAAGTGCTGGGATTACAGGCTTGAGCCACCGCGCCCGGAAACTTTTATTTTTTTGAGACACAGTCTTGCTCTGTCGCCAAGCTGGAGTGCAGTGGCACGATCTCAGCTCACTGCAACCTCCGCCTCCTGATTTCAAGTGATTCTTCTGCCTCAGCCTCCCAAGTAGCTGGGACCACAGGTATGTGCCACCATGCCCAGCTATTTTTTGTATTTTTAGTAGAGATGGGGTTTCACCATGTTGGCCAGGATGCTCTCAATCTCTTGACCTCGTGATCCACCCGCCTCAGCCTCCCAAAGTGCTGGGATTACAGGAGTGAGCCACCGCGCCTGGCCTGGCCTTCATTTATTTTATTATTAATTTTGAGAGACAGGGTCTCACTCTGCTGCCCAGGCTGGAGTGCAGTGGCACAATCATAGCTCACTGCAGCCTTGAACTGCTGGACTAAAGTGAGCCTCCCACCTCAGCCTCCAGAATAGCTGGGCCTACAGGCATGCACGCATCACCATGCCTGGATAATTTTTTCAACTGTTTTTGTAGACACAAGGTCTTGCCATGTTGCCCAGGCTGGTCTCAAAGTCCTGGCCTCAAGCGAGCTTCACATCTCAGCCTTCCAAAGCACTGGGATTGTAGGCATGAGTCACCACTCTAGGCCCTCACCTCTTTATAGATATAACCCTGCTCCATACCATCCCTAATTCCCGACATGAGGAATTTGTTCTCCATTTCTATAATTATGCCATTTTGAGAATGTCATATAAATGGAATCAAATCATACAGTCTGTAACCTTTTGAGATTGCCTTTTTTTTTTTTTTGAGCTGGAGTCTTACTCTGTTGCCCAGGTTGGAGTGTAGTGAGGTGATCTCAGCTCACTGTAACATCCACCTCCTGGGTTCCAGCGATTCTCCTGTCTCAGCCTCCCGAGTAGCTGGGATTACAGGCCTGTGCCGCCACACCCGGATAATTTTTGTATTTTTAACAGAGATGGGGTTTCAGCATGTTGGCCGGGCTAGTCTCAAACTTCTGACCTCAAGTGATCCACCTGCCTCGGCCTCCCAAAGTGCTGGGATTACAGGCGTGAGCCACCGCGCCCGGCCTGACATTGTCTTTTTTTCATGCAGCATAATTCCCCTAAAATCCATCCAGTTAGGAGAAACAAAGAAACCACACACTCCACAGCACAAGCTGGAATGCAGTGGCACAATCTCGGCTTACTGCAACCTCCGCCTCCCAGATTCAAGTGATTCTCCTGACTCAGCCTCCAAGTAGCTGGGATTATAGGCAAGTGCCATCATACCCAGGTAATTTTTGCTTTTTTTTTTTTTTTTTTTTTGAGACGCAGCTTGACCTCCCAAAGTACTGAGATTATAGGCATGAGCCACCATGCCTGGCCTTAATTTTTGTATTTTTAGTAGAGGCGGGATTTCACCATGTTGGCCAGGCTTGTCTTGAACTCCTGACCTCATGATCCACCCACCTCAGCCTCCCAAAGTGCTGGGATTACAGGTGTGAGCCACCATGCCCGGCCAAACCTAGTATCTTTAATTTGTATTTGTCCTTATAATCTACTTCCTGCTTGATGTTCTAAATTCCAAAAATCCATGGAGGGTGGCACGTCACTAGGCAAAAAAGCTATTTGACAAAATCATTCAGAGTATATGTACTGTGGTTTTTAATGACTGTTTTAGAAAGAACTGCCTCCTCTCCAGATTTTTTTTTTTTTTTGAAACAGCCTCACTCTGATGCCCAGGCTGGAGTGCAGTGGTACCATATCAGCTCACTGCAACCTCCTCCTCCCGGGTTCAAGTGATTCTCCTGCCTAAGCCTCCCAAGTAGCTGGGATTACAGGCACCTGCCACCATGCCTAGCTAATTTTTGTATTTTTAGTAGAGACAGGGTTTTACCATGTTGGTCAGGCTAGTCTCAAACTCCTGACTTCAGGTGATCTGCCCACCTCAGCGTCCCAAAGTGCAGGGATTACAGGCGTGAACCATCTCACCCAGCCTCTTCTCCAACTTCTAATCCTACACTGTTACTAGCTCTCCCTGCACTTTTCTGAATCTGTTTTGAATCCATGCATTAACTGTCACACTAGCCACATATGTTACAACATTTTGGAAATCGATGGCTAATGAGAGGGGAGCAAAGTACTGAGGACTGAAAAATGAGTCCATCCTCTAGATGGGGAAGATGAGACTCAGAGAAGGCAATTTACCAAAGATTATGCGCTTGGCTCTTTCCCCAAGTGTAGCCCCTTGGTTTTTGATCACTTTTTAAAAATATTGGTTTTTTCTATTTGTATTTTTTGTTTGTTTGTTCATTTTTGGGATGAGGGTCTCACTCTGCTGCCCAGGCTGGAGTGCAACTTACTGTAACCTCTGCCTCCCAGGCCTAAGTGGTCCTCCCACTTCATTCAGCCTCTCAAGTAGCTGGGACTACAGGCGCCTGCCATCACACCCAACTAATTTTTAAATTATTTGTAGAGACAAGGTTTTACCGTGTTGCCCAGGCTGGTCTTGAAGTCCTAGGCTCAAGCGATCTACTTTGGCCTCCCAAAGTGCTGGGATTACAGGCGTGACCCACTGCGCCTAGTTTTTATCATTATTATAATCATTTTTATTTGACAAATAAATAATAATAAAATTTATGACACAGCCTCAGGAGCTCCTGACATGTGCCCCCGGTTTTTATCATTCTTAACAATAGCTAATGTTCACTGAGTCCTTATTGTGTGCCAATAAGCGTTTTATTTTATTTTTTGAGATGGAGTCTTGCTCTGTTCCCCAGACTGGAGTGCAGTGGCAATCTCGACTGACCACAACCTCTGCCTCGGGGGTGCAAGTGATTCTCGTGCCTCAGCCTCAGGAGAAGCTGGGACTGTAGGCAGGCGCCATCACGCCTGCTAATTTTTGTATTTTTAGTGGAAACGGGGTTTCACCATGTTGGCCAGGCTGGTCTTGAACTCCTGACCTCAATTGGTCTACCCGCGTCGGCCTCTGAAAGTGCTGGGATTACAGGCTTGTGCCACCCAGCCGGCCCCTCAGTGTTTTAGATATGTATGTCTATTAATCCTCCTGACAGCTGTGCCAGACAGATAGTTGTCTTCAATCTAGTGATGCGAAGAATCACTTGAGGCCAGGAATTCGAGGCCAGTCTGGGCAACGTGGTTAGACCCCCATCTCTACTCCAACCTGGGCACAGAGTGAGACCCTGTCTCAAAAAATAAATATATAAAAACAGTAATAATAAACTGACTGCTCTTGGATTCCACACCTACAGGGTAATAATGCTGCACTTTGGTCCCACATTCGTCCTAATTGAAATGACCACCCTATTAACTAAGAAGTACCATGAACAAAATTCACTCATAATCCCACGGCCCAAGCGGCAGGCTTAAGTGAGGAAGACCCTGTGCAGTCTTCCCGGAAATCCCCGTCCACACAGCATATTTGCAGCCAAAGCGTGTCAGTCCTACAGGCTCCTGCCCCAGGTGCGCAGCTGCGCCACGCGACCCCCGGCCGGCCCTGGAGGAGCCAGCCCTGCCCGCCACTCCGCCGCAGCCAATAGCGCAGGCGCGTTTGGAGGCGGCCCCTGCTTGGCTGCGCGCTCTGATTGGGCGTCTCTGGGGGCGGGGCCAGGCCGAAGCCTGGCGCGCGGGGTGCACCTAGCAGAGCGCGAGCTGTCCAGCGCCAAGTTGCGTTTGGGGTTGGCGCGGCAGGTCACGTGGTTGGAACGCGGCGGTGCGCGGGGCGTTGGGGCAGCGGGTCTGAGACTCTGGTGGCACCGGCGGCGGCGTGGGACCGAGGCGTCGCTAGGCACTGGCGCGTGGCCGTGTTCCGGTAGGTGGGCGGCTTCGGGTCCGAGGGCCGCGGCGTCCTGGATCCCGGGGTTGGGGTGCTCGGGCGTCCTCGCTGTCCCCTGCCTTACCTCACCCTCTGCAGTCGGAACGACGGGAGGGGAGCGCTTGGGTCGCGCCTGGGCTGGGGATTGGGCGGCCGCCAGCCGCGGCTCCCCGGTTCCAGGCACATTCGGCGCGATGGGGTGGCCTCGGTGGCCTTTGGCAGGAATGCGAAGGCTTACCCCGAATATGAGTAGCACTTTTCTCGTTGAGCATTTTCGATTTAAACACAGCTCCTCGCCTTGTTCCTTAACGACAAAGCTGCAAGTCGAGTGTTAACCGTTTCCCGCATTTTACAGGTGAGCAAGGTGGTGGGGCTCGGAGAAAGGACACAACTTAAATGGCAGAGCTCGGAATCGAACCCCGGGTCTCAAAGCCTGCTCCCCTAACCGCTACGCGCAGGGTCCCTCCACTTTTGGCCTGTCCCACCAGATCCCTCTGGGGAATGAGTTCTTCCTGTTGCCGGCAGTCTGCCACCCCACTGTTGTAGGAGACAAATGTTGCACTGTAAAGTTCTTGGCCCGGTGCCTCAGCTTTGAGATTCTGGGAGTTAAGTGACCCTTGGTCCAGCTGAGGTCAGCACAGATGCAGGCCTTCAAACTCGGGCAGTTATCCCAGGGAATAAACTGGATAAACCAGTTGAGGTTCTTACAGAAATAACATTGTAGGCTAGGCGCGGTGGCTCATGCCTGTAATCCCTAGCAATTTGGGAGATGGAGCTGTGCAGATTACTTTAGGTCAAGAGTTCAAGACCAGCCTGGCCAACACAGTGAAACCCCGCCTGTACTAAAAATACAAAAAAATTAGCCGGCCATGGTGACACACACCTGTAATCCCAGCTATTCGGGAGGCTGAGGCAGGAGAATTGCATGAACCCAGGAGGTGGAGGTTGCAGTGAGCAGAGGTGGTGCCTATGCACTCCAGCCCCAGGGACAGAGTGAGTATACTCCATCTCCCAAAAAAAAAAAAAAAAGAAAGAAAGAAATAACGTCAATTTATTACCTGGGGGAACTTGGAATGGAGGTTGGTAATTGTGTTTTTATTCAGTGCAGTGTTGCAATGTCCTGGGACAAGGCTTTGGAAGTGAAGAGAAACCAGAGTTCAGATTCTGGCTTTTATTATATGACTTTAGACAAGTTAGCTCTCTGGGTCTCAATTTCCTCCTCTGTAAACAAGAGAACACAAAAATCTGTTTGTGAGATAGAAGATGTTCAACAAGGTAGTTCCCTTAGCAGACCCCTGGTTGGATCCACTTGTGTGATAGAGGCCCACGTAAGATTTGGAGGCATGGAGAGGCTGGTGACTTTGCCGGTGACCTCACTTACTGAGTCTCCTTCCCTGGTGTTGAGGATCTGGCCACACTGAGCGACCGTGCCTCTACAGAAATATCTAATGCTGTAATGACTGATGCTGCAGTGAGCTCTGTGTTAGCTGGGGTGCTTACCGGGTGTTACTGAATGTTAATGAAGACGTCCCTAAGATTCCTAAGTTTCCTTTTCTTTCTTTCTTTTTTTTTTTTTTTTTTTTTTGAGACGGAGTTTCGCTCTTGTGACCCAGGCTGGAGTGCAATGGCGCAATCTCGGCTCACCGCAACCTCCGCCTCCTGGGTTCAGGCAATTCTCCTGCCTCAGCCTCCCTAGTAGCTGGGACTACAGGCATGTGCCACCATGCCCAGCTAATTTTTGTATTCTTAGTAGAGACGGGGTTTCACCATGTTGACCAGGATGGTCTCGATCTCTTGACCTCGTGATCCACCCGCCTCGGCCTCCCAAAGTGCTGGGATTACAGGTGTGAGCCACAGCGCCTGGCCTTCCTTTTCTTTCTTTATTTTGGGACAGAGTCTTGCTCTGTTGTCCAGGCTAGAGTGCAGTGGCGTGATCTCGGCTAACTGAAACCTCCACCTCACTGGTTCAAGTTATTCTCCTGCCTCAGTTTCCTGAGTAGCTGGGATTACAGGCATATGCCACCAAGACTGGCTAATTTTTATATTTTTAGTAGAGATGAGTTTTTGCCATATTGACCAGGCTGGTCTCAAACTCCTTACCTCAAATGATCTGCCCACCTTGACCTCCCAAAGTGCTGGGATTACATGTGTGAGCCACTGTGCCCAGCCCTTTTTTTTTTTCTTTTTAGAGAGACAGGGGTGTCAGTATGTTACCCAGGCTGGTCTTGACTCCTGTGGTCCTGTGACTCCCCAGACTTCAGGACTTCAGGTGTGTAAGTCTGATTTTTTTTTTTTTTTTTTTTTTAAGATGGGGTTTCACCATGATGGCCAGGCTGGTCTTGAACTCCTGACCTCAGGTGATCCACCCACCTCAGCCTCCCAAAGTGCTAGGATTACAGGCATGAGCCACCGTACCCGGTGTAAGTCTGATTTCTGACTCATAGCGAGTCACACTTCCTCCTTTCTCTGAGCTTTGAACTTGGGGTGCTCTGTGCTTGCTTACTCTGCGTAGATTGCTCTCATCCCAGATCTTAGGCTTGGCTCCTTTCCACAGCTCAGATTTCAGCTCGGGGATGTTCCCTGGCACAGTCTGAAGTAGCTCTTCCTTTCTTTCCTTTCTTTCTTTCTCTTTTGAGACAGGATCTTGCTCTGTTGCCCAGGCTGTAGTACAGTGGTATCATCTAGGCTTACTGCAGCCTCAGTCTCTGGGACTCAAGCGATCCTCCTGCTTCAACCACCCAGAGTAGCTGAGAATATAGGTGCATGCCACCAGGCTCAGGTAATTTTTTAAAAAAATTTTTTATATTTTTTTGGTAGAGACAGGGTTTTGCCATGTTGCCTAGTCTGGTCTTGAACTCCTGGGTTCAAGTGATCTTCTCGCCTCAGCCTTTCATAGTTGGGGATTACAGGCATGAGCCATCATGCCTGAGCTTGTGTATTTCTTTTCCTTTTTTTTGAGATGCACACTGCTCTGTCCATCCAGGCTGGAGTGCAATGGCATGATCTCCCTGCTCACTCTAACCTCTGCTTCGCCAGTTCAAGCAATTCTCCTGCCTCAGCCTCCCAAGTAGCTGGGATTACAGGCACCCACCACCACAACTGGGTAATTTTTGCATTTTTAGTAGAGATGGGGTTTTACCATGTTGGCCAGGCTGGTCTCAAACTACTGACCTCAAGTAATCCACCCGACATGGCCTCCCACAGTACTGAGATTGAAGTTGTGATCCACTTTTTTTTTTTTTTTTTGAGACAGAGTCTTGCTCTGCTGTCACCCAGGCTGGAGTGCAATGGCATGATCTCAGCTCACTGCAACCTCTGCCTCCCAGGTTCAATAGATTCTCCTGCCTCAGCCTCCCAAGTAGCTGGGACTATAGGTGCCCGCCACCATGCCTGGCTAATTTTTGTATTTTTAGTATAGTCAGGGTTTCACCATATTGGCCAGGTTGGTCTTGAACTCCTGACCTTATTATCTGCCTGCCTCAGCCTCCCAAAACGCTGGGATTACAGACATGAGCCACCAGGCCCAGCTGTATTTTTTAATTGTTTATAATTTGTTTCTCATAAGAGCAGGACCTCTATCTTAGTAACTTCTGTATTCATAGTGCCTAGCTCTGTGCCTGGGATGTAAGAATTGTTCAATAAATGCTGATTGAATGAATTCATTGTAGAGGTTCTTAGATACCAAACATTTATTTTGGAGTTTTTTTTCTTTTTGAGAGACACGGTCTCACTCTGTCATCCAGGCTGGAGAGCAGTGGCAAAATCATAGTTTATGGCAGCCTTGACCTCCCAGGCCCAAGTAATCCTCTCACCTCAGCCTCCTAAATAGCTGAGACTACAGGCATACATCACCATATCATCCAGCTAATTTTTATTTTATTTTTTTATAAGATGGAGTCTTGCTCTGTCACCCAGGCTGGAGTACAGTGGCTCAGTCTTGGCTCACTGCAACCTCTTCCTCTTGGGTTCAAGTGATTCTTCTGCCTCAGCCTCCTGAGTAGCTGAGACTACAGGCACATGCCACTGCACCTAGCCAATTTTTGTCTTTTTAGTAGAGACAGAGTTTTGACATGTTGGCCAGGCTGGTCTTGAACTCCTGAACTCCTGACCTCAGGTTATTCACCCTCCTTGGCCTCCCAAAGTGCTGGGATTACAGGCGTGAGCCACCTCACCAGGCCCTGAGATGGAGTCTTGCTCTGTCACCCAGGCTGGAGTGCAGTGGTTCGATCTTGGCTCACTGCAACCTCCACCTCCTGGGTTCAACTAATTCTCCTGCCTCAGCCTCCTGAGTAGCTGGAATTATAGGCACCTGCCACCACACCTGGCTAATTTTTTCTTTTTTTTTTTTTTTTTTTTTGAGACGGAGTTTCGCTCTTGTTACCCAGGCTGGAGTGCAATGGCACGATCTCGGCTCACTGCAACCTCCGCCTCCTGGGCTCAGGCAATTCTCCTGCCTCAGCCTCCTAAGTAGCTGGGATTACAGGCACGCACCACCATGCCCAGTTAGTTTTTTTTTGTATTTTTAGTAGAGACGGGGTTTCACCATGTTGACCAGGATGGTCTCGATCTCTCGCCCTCGTGATCCACCCACCTCGGCCTCCCAAAGTGCTGGGATTACAGGCTTGAGCCACCGCGCCCAGCCAATTTTTGTATTTTAAGTAGAGATGGGGTTTCACTATGTTGGCCAGGCTGGTCTTGAACTCCTGACCCTGTGATCTGCCTGCCTTGGCCTCCCAAGTGCTAGGATTACAGGTGTGAGCCACCATGCCCAGCCCAGGCCTTATTTTGAATTAAACATGGAATTACGCTATGACCCAGTAATTCCACTTCTGAATATATACCCAGAAGAATGGAAAGCATGGAGTACTTGAACAGAAATTTGTATACCTGTATTCATAGCAGCATGATTCACAATGACCACAAGGTGGAAACAACCCAAATGTCTATCAGCAAATGAAGGGAGAAATAAAATATGGCATACACATACAATGAAATAT